CCTGGGGTCGGTTTGTCTGGGGGGTTGCTTTTAAGTTCTCAGGGTACTATGGCTGAAAAGATGTGTTCTAGGCAGAAGGCATTTTTATTACTAATACCAGAAATAAAAGACTTCATTCATTACCTTCCTATTTAGCAAAAATAAAAAAAAGATAAAACTGCATACATTAAGAATTGTAATCTCCTAAATAAATGTTGCAGAGAGAGGAGATCCTCCTGTGGTGCAAGATGCGTTTGAAGGCGGTTGTTTGCACTGTAACAGCCACTGATTAATAAGTCTGTTTCTTCAGGGAAGTCACTTAAAAAAGAAAATAACGAGCTAAGTAAGAGCGATTCCGAGGTGGAGGTTTCTCGGTGCAGAGGGCTGGCAGCCGCGCAGTGGACGGAGATGAGGTGAGGGACAGAGGGAGAAAATGCTGATTGCCATTTCCCTTGACACTGCAGCGTTCTGGGATAAATCAAATTGATGAACTTGGAGAAGAATGCCTGGAAGAGGGTGAAAGAGCGATATGACCCCTGAGAAAGGAAGCTGCTGCAGACTTTGACAGGCCTTTTTTATTTTACTTTTAATTCCCGTGCTCTACCAGTTAATGCCAAATGTTCCCAAAGAATTCTCGCTTGTTTTTTCTTTCTGTTTTGTTTTTTTTTTTTTCTTTTTTTGAGCAATTGTGGATCTCTCATGCTTTATTTGAGGATGCAGGAGATCTTGCCTTTACATGCTGTAGTCTCATGGGTGTTCTTACAGAAGTTTCTAAACTCTGTGAATCCATCCCTCAGGAGTAAATTCACTTGCTTTTTATTGTGTTGCTCACTTACTGATCCAGTGATGTCTTTCTGTATATGTGTGTGTATATATATATAATATGTACACATGTGTATATATATATAATATGTACACATGTGTATATATATATAATATGTACACGTATGTATTTATATATAAACCAAGAATGAGCTAGCAAATTTTAATTAATTTTTATTTCAATTATGGCAACGGATGACCTCCTTATTTCCCCCCAACTCCTCCATGTGTTATGGTTGCACAATTTATCAGCCAGAAAGATGTATTAGAATTAAGTTTTTCATCTTTTTTTCCTACAACCTCTGAAGATATTTTGGGGGTGCAGACCCTTGTATAGGGAATTGTCCCTTACTCAATGACTACTCCTCAGCTTCTTCTTGCAGAACATTTTGTGGCCCATGGGACATGTGGAACGTAGGGGAAGAAGCTGTGCTGGTCATGCTGGGATGTTGCAAACATGGGTGGGCAATGCTTGGGCTTGCCCAGCTCTGAGAGCCCGTCCTGGAGGTCGTTTCTGAAGTCAGGAGGTTTGCAGCATCCTGCTGACTTCTTGCTGCTGCCCCCATTAGAGCCTGTGGCTCTCAGCCCATGGAAGATGCTCATTAAAACATCCACCATGGCATGGGTGAAGTGGCAAGGACAGGAGCTTGCATCAAGGACTATGCTGTGAGTCTGGGGCTGGACTTAATGCTTTTTCTGCTTGATCTGACTTTGCCTTCTGTAGGTGGTTGGAGGCTTTGGTGCCTCCAAACTAGAGAGGTGGTGGAGTCTTCCTCCTTGGAGATATTCAAAAGCCATCTGGAGATGGTCCTGGGTAGAGACTCTAGGTGGCTCTGCTTGACCAAGAGGTTGGACCAGAGGACCTCCGGCGGTCTGAGCTCCTCATGCTGCTGTATGTCCTCCAAGGGAATGGTGTAGATCACTTGATGAAAACTTGCTTGGCTGTGAGCATGGGGTCATACTCACAGCGTGTTGAGCTGAGCTACATGTTTCTAAGGTAGCTTTAGGAGAATGGTGTGGAGTTGCCTTCACTGGTGCTCGTGCTGTGCACAGAGAGAGGGTAAGGTTTGCTTGGCTTGAGCAAAGAGCCGTCAGCAAAGCAAGCTGCACGGAAGTATTTTACATCCTAGAAATAGCAAATCTCCGCTATGAGTTTTTTAAAAATAATGTTCAAATGAAGATTTAATGTGGAAACATGTTTCCTGATTGAAAGGTAAATAGTTCAACTGTACGGGATAAGTATTTAAGAGCGGCGTATCTCTTTGCAGTAAAAACACTCTGGGCAGAGACTTACCTTTGGCAACAAAATGAGGCTGTTGTTTTGCATGCCTTCGATCTGATTCCAGAAAAAAAAATATTTAAGATAGCAAAGTTGGCAGATCCTGCCACGGGAGGCAGCCAGGTGAAAGGAGCAGAGCTGTGAAAGGTGAGGCTGAAGTGAGGGCTGATGGATATGGACCCACCCGTTATCTTCTCACTCTTTAACAGCTGCCGGCATTGCACTCTCTAGTGGGAGTGTGTGGCTTGCAAATGGCCTATAAAATTAATTGCCAGTTAGAATCACCTAATTATCGAGCTCATGATTATTAATTGAAGGCACATACGGGTTATGAGGCTGTGCATGGCTTCTCTGCTGTGCTGCAAGTCTGCTGTGCAACTGCAAAAGGCTTTGTCAGAGCTGTGTTTGTAGGGTGGTCTGTGAGCCACTGGGAAATGGCCGATGTTCCTGTGCTCCTTCATCTTTTGGAGTTTGAAGGGCAGTTTATGAGCAGCCTGCTTGGGATGAGGAGAATTGTAATTAGTACTTATCAGTGAGTGTAAGCGAAGGGCTGGGTGTAGGCAGAGGAATCCCCGTGCACATAAAACCAGCAAAGACCTGACTCTTCACAGCTAAGTCGCTGTTACAACCCAGAATAACAGTCACTGAGTCACTGTTTGATTAGGAGGATTTTCACCTTCACTGGGTACCACATGGTATTTATTTAACCACCTCTCCCAAGCATCCTGCAAGCTATCACTAGGTAGGTATTGCTGAGTGATTCAGAGCTGCGATGACTGTATACGTTAGAGCTGGTGCACAGTGAACCGTCCTGTGTGGTGCTCAGAAGCGATTTTGCACCTTTTTTGGATGTGTTTGCACATTATCATGTACCAGCACCTAGTATGTTCTTTTGCTTTATCCCTTCTTGCTCCTGCTCAGGCTTCAGCTCAGTTTAGATTTTTTTTTTTATTTTTATCTTGGTTAATAAACCTTCCCATTTGCACAACTTGCATTTTTAGGGTATGGGTATTTTGAAAGTTTCAGTAAATATTTTTCTAAGAACCTAAGTACAGATGTGCGTGGCTGCTGAATGGCTGCCTGAATCCCAGATTCACGTGGCAGGGACACGGGATCGCAGTGGAAGCATTTTCCTGTGCTCACTCAAACCCTCACTGCAGAGGTAAATAATTATCAGACCCTCATCCTCTCCCACACGCCCAGATGCCCTTTTCCAGCCAGCTGAATTTCAGCCGGATCCCTGTGTCAGGTGTCATCTTTTTGGCTGCCTTTACCCCTGCCGAACTGGGGCTGAAGCAGAGCTTGAGTGGCTAACTGGCTCGTAGTCTGAGGAGACACAGTGGACAAGGACATCGAGTGCCATTTCTGTTTGGAGGCATGGAAGAGTGACGAGGCTTACCCAAGGCTGGGAAGAAGATCGGCTGCTGGATATGAATCCCTGACCTCCCGGGTTGTAAGGACATGGGGAAGTTTGAAAGCAGCACTCGCTGGAGGAATCCTTAAGTCAGGTTCTTGTCCCTGAGCATTCCTCTGTCACTGTGTGTTGTGCTGGAGGGTCCTTGGTTTAGGTTACAAGATAGCTGAAGGCTTCTCTCCTTGGCTGCTGGTGCAATATGAGCTTTACCTAGATCAGCTGGATTTCTTCATGGCCTGTGTGCTTCCTGATGCAAGGTCCCATCATTCCCCATAGGCATCTTGTTCAGCCTGCACCAAATGGGATTCTTACCTTTTATTGGGGTACTAGGAGTCACCAACTTTAGTTGGTGAGTGTTCTTATTTAGGTAGGGAAACTTTAATGAGTCTCCATGTGGTTTCTTTTTTTTTTTTTTTCCTTTTTCAGTTGCTGCAATTAAGTGTGTAATTTTTAATGGGGATCATCTTAATTAAATCCACCAACTGAGCGGGAAGAGTTGGCTGGAGGCCATGGAAGTGGTCTCCTGTGACCTACAGCATCTCCAGCGCACCCACTGCTGTACCAACACCCCTCCAGCACGAGGATTGTCATCAGTGGTGGGGATTGTAAGAGATATCCATGGTTGTAACAGTGTTGGCTTTAGCTATCAGCCTCCCAGCCCTGCCTGAATGTTTTATTTAGTTAGTTCTCTGATAAAAAGCTTTGACCTACATCTAGCACCAGGAAGCAACGAGGCTTTGATAATACTCGGGCATCCCGGTGAAGGGCACGCTGCTAACCGAGCCTCCAAGTCGAAAATGAATGTGTCCTTTAAAATAAAATCAGATAAACCAATACAGGTCTCAGTCAGTAAGCAGCTTTATCTCTGCCAGGCAATATGTAGTCCAGTTTTGATGGAGAGGATATACCTCTTTATTGAACTGTAGATAGTAGGAAAAGCACTTTCTATTTTAAGCATTTTCTATTTTATTGGCAAAAGCCAATAAAAATGGCAGCTTTTTATGATATGAAGGTGTCAGCAATGGAAATGGGCTGGACCATGCGGGTGCTCAGTGGTGAAGCAGTTATCTGGTGTGGTAAAGAAGAAAGGTCCTATTTGAATTGTTCTTCACTGTACATATCTCAGATGCGGTCTGTCATCTGGATCTCTCAGTCCTTTCTGCGAGGCTATCTTGCGGTCAGCTATAACAGCTTCGTAAGTGTCCTTTCTGTGATGTGTGCTGCCTTTCAAAGAGATGAAGGGGATGTCCAGGAGGAAGGAGGCAGGGAGATTCGCAGCCCTGTCCTCCCTGCAGCCACCTGTGGCCCAGGAGTCAGGGGTAGGTCAGCAGCAGCAGGATGGGCATTAGCATCATTGCCCTGAGAAATCGATAGTCACGGGGCGATGCTGTGGGACCACCCACATTGATTTATGCCGCATATCTGGGAGGTTGTGTCTGTGCCATCGCACGCTTGTGTACTCATGTTGCATGTTTTGTAGTTTGTTCTTTTTTTTTGCCTTTCCAGGATGAACTCGACCTTACCGACAAGCACAGAGAGGCCATGTTTGCACTGCCGGCAGAGAAGAAGTGGCAGATCTACTGCAGCAAGAAGAAAGTAAGAGACACGTTCACACTGTTTGTGGGAGCTGAGCCCCATCTCTCCCTTGTAGGATGGGGAGATGTGAGGAGGGACACAGCTTGCTTTGGATGCTGAGTGGTATTTGGGGTGTCACAGAGATGCGTCAGTCCCCTGGGGAAGTGAGGGCGACCGGCAAGGTCTTCGGTCTCCAAAATGCAGAGCTCTTTTCTCCCGAGCCAATTCAGGCTGGAGGAAGTGTCCACATGCCCCTCACAAGTGTCCCTCACCCCATGCTCATCCCTGCCAGCACAAGCGGGGCCATGTGGAGCCCTGTGGCTGCTGAGCTCCCAGTGTGACATGTCCCTGCTGTGGTGCTGTCCTCGTGGCCATGTTTTTCAAGCTCAAAACATACACAGACATCTTCCCAATGCCGAGATGTGCTGATGTCTGAGCTCTGTTGCATCACCCTTTAGACAGAGGTCAAAAATTGAGGTTTGTTTGTATTTCTGGCAGTAAATCAATGCCCAGGTGGCCAAAGGCTGTGGTGCCTCTGGGCAGGTTCACAGCTGAGGCATGTAGCTGGCTCTCATGGTCCATCTGGGATGGAGCTGACTGCTTTGCCACCTTTCTCCCTCGAGTGGGACACTGCAGGCAGGCCATGTGCAAGGAGGCCAAAATTACTCTTTTTTTTCCCCCAGTAAACTGAACATTTTTGCCCCTCTATGTTGGCACTGGAGCTATCCCCAGCTATCTGTGCTGGGACTCGCTTTCCCTCCTAGCATTGGCCAAAGCAGAGATCCTGCAGGACCTAACACCATGGGAGAAATGGGGCAAAAATCCTCAATTTCACAAGCATATGGAGAGACACTGAGGCCTGCCAGGGAAATGCTCCCAGTCTGGGGCAGGGACCTATTGGAGTGGGTCCAGAGGAGGGCTATGATGGTGATCAGAGGGATGGAGCACCTCTTCAATGAGGAAAGGCTGAGAGAGTTGGGGTTGTTCAGCCTGGAGAAGACAAGACTCCAGGGAGGTGTTATTGTGGCCTTCCAGTACTTAAAAGGGGCTATAAGAAATCAGGGGACAGACTTTTTAGCAAGGCCTGTAGCAATAGGACAACAGGTAATGGTTTTAACCAGAAAGAAGGAGGATTTAGACTAGAGATAAGGAAGAAATGTTTTATGCTGAGGGTGGTGAAACACTGGACCAGGTTGCCCAGAAGGGTGGTAGATGCCCCATCCCTGGAAACATTCAAGGCCAGGTTGGACGGGGCTCTGAGAAACCTGGTCTCATTGAAGCTGCGCCTGCTCACTGCAGGGGAGTGGACTAGGTGACCTCTAAAGGTCTCTTTCAACCCAAACCATTCTCTGATTCTGTGATTCAGTTCCCAGATTCGCCGCTGCGTTCCCTAACCTGGCTGCAGGACCTGGCTCAGCAGCACTGGCGGTCGCCTGGCCTCGCTTCAAGGGCACTCGCTGTCATTAATGCCTCTTTTCTCCTGCTGTAGCAATGGCACCAGATTTTCCAGCTGCGTTTTAGGCCAAGAGCAGGCTTACCTTGCTCATGTAGGATTAAGTTTTAAGCCTCTTATAAATACCGCTGAAATCCCTGTATTATTGTTAGACAGAGGCCTGCCATGCCCGAGGTTTAAATCGGAGAGGAGAAGAGATCTTAACAAATTACAGCCCCTGGTCTGAATAAACAAGAAAACAGGCAGGGGATGCTTGCTCGTCACTGCCTGTCGGATAAGTGAGCTGTGCTCTGGTGTGTCTGGATAAGGGGAGACAACGAAGACTTAAATCTAGCACAACTGCAGTTATTATTGTGAGTGGAGATTAAACGCCATCTAATCTCCTGATGAAGGGTTTAGATGAGGCTGATGGTGCCTTTTTCCCATTCCAGCACCTTGTTGCGCTCGCATGCTGAGGATCTGCCTGCTCCCAGGGGGGTTTGAAGGAAGGAGCCACAGAAGTGTCCTGTGGAGTCCTCAGAGATCTTCAGAGCAGGCGCCCATCTGCAGCTGGATCCTGGCTGCTGTCCTGCTCTGCTCCTCACCTCTCTGGCTGCTCTCAGCCGCTCCTTCCCTGCTGGTGATCACATCTCTGTGAGCTGCAGAGCGCACATGCCACTGCTTGCTCTGAAGGAGATGTACCAGTAGAGACAAATGCTTTTCTCCTGCTTTTTAATTAAAAATAAGTGAGACCTTATCAACAGAGGCTCCAGCAGTGGAGGAAATCCATCACGTGGGCTGGAGAACATGTCTCTGTGCATGGCAGGCTCTAGACAGTCCTATGTGATAAGGACCGGTAGGCAGCAGAAACATTGGTGGCTATCCCAGTGGCTCCTGGTAAATCTTACTCATGTATCTATGTTTTTATGAGGACAGATAACCTCCATGGTAGCCTGGCATCAAGGAGAGAGGCTGAGCTCCTCCAGCTGAGAGCAATGGCTGGGTTTTGGAGACAGGGCAGAGGTCCTACCTCCCTGCCTTGGCTGCAGGCTGAGTGGTGGTGATTTTGGAAGTCCTGGATGCACCCAAACTCTTTAGCCTGCCTGTGTTTAATAGCAAGTTGTTGCTTGAGATGCTGGGAACACCCAGTTTCACCTGATGGGTCCCAGGGGGCTGGCAAAGGTGGACATCAGTCCCAGGCAGCTGCCTGACTTACCAGGGATCCAAAATTGTCCCCTGAGCAATTTTTGTTCTTTCCTCTGCTGCCAATTTTGGCTGCTGTTTGAAACAGACTGGTAGGAGTCAGGCAACCAGTAGAACTTTGAGTCTGAAACCCCCAGTTTGGGGCATTCCTAATTTTTAGCATTTCCTCTGTTTTCCTGCTGGTTGCAGTGCTCCCTGCCATGATTGCAGAGACCAATTGCAGTGAACTCTACCTCAAAGGAGCAGCAGGAGGCAGGACAGAAATGCTGCCCAGCTTTCTCCTGGGGGTTCTCCTTGACAGTCAACTTTGCTGGTCTCCAAAATATCTTGCACTGTGGCCATAGCCTGCACAGCCAGAGGAGACGAAATAAGGGAAAACCAGCAATTCCCCAGGCATATTTCTTTCCCTGGAATATTTCTCTCTGGTCTGCAGCCCCTTATCCTGGTTTCTCTGCTCTGCAAGCAGCTGTTTTTATCCCAGCCCACACTACCAGCTTGGCAGGGTGGAGGTTTTGTCCTTCCCAGTTCTCCATCCATGGAGATGCTGGGTCTGATCCCAGCCCTGACCCAGCTCGGAGCAGGGAGATGCACTGGATGAACTCTCCATGGTTTTGTCCCACCTGCATTCCCCTGTGATGCTCTGGGGGGTCAGAGAGACAAAAAATATCTCATGATGCTGGCAAGGCAACGACCGGAGTGAGATCTGAAGTCTGCATTAAATCCAGGAGCCATGCAGCACTCAGGTCAGGAGGGAGATTTAAAGATTATTGGAGAGACCTTTGAAGTCATCAGCCGCCTCTGCAGCTGAAATAAAGCAGGGAAATGCGAAGGTGGAGATGCATTAACAGCGGGATGAAATCTGCTTTTAGAAGTGGTATTTCTGGATGATGACTCGTTTCATACCTCATCCCAAAAATATTTCGCTGCCTGCTGGCCCCACTCCCCAGGAGAGGATATTGCTCGGAAGCGCGGGGAGGAAGCAGGAGGGTTTCCAGCTTTACCATTTATTTCTTTGGCTGCGGGTTCGCTTCAGTGGAAGAGAGGGACTCAGGATGGCCTTTGTCAGGAGGCCACGCTCCAGAAGAAGTTAATAACTAACACTTTGTGCTTAGTCTGCAACAGCACCTCTTAATTGCAGGAGGTTTGGCTCTTGCCAGCCAATGTGCGTAATGTCAGGCTACTAAAGCGGCTCGCTGGGTGATTTTTATGAGCCTCAAAATACATGTGGATACAGGGGTGTTCAGGCAGAAGCTCAGCATAAATAAACAGGTGGAAGGGATTGGTAGTGAAAACCAGCTCACGTGAATGCAAGATCTGGCGCTGTCCCCCTCCCTTTCGATTTGGTTGAGCTCTCTGAGCATCTGTAAAGCCTGGGTAGGGGAAAAATGACCTGCAGGGATGCCAAGTGATGCTGCACTCCGTAAGCTCGCGTTGAAAAACTCTTGGCATCGCTAACACTGCATGCGTAGCTCTCAGCAGTGTTAAGCTGTCCCCAGGCAAGCAGAGCTTACGTCTAACATTTCCTCCGACATCAGATGTAAAACCAGGATCCCTTCGCATTAGGAGAAGACAGCAGTGGTGCTTTTGCAGAGGAGAATGGGAAAAAAAATGTGATAAATAGGGAAATGAGTGCTGGCTCTCCAGTTACACTGTTTTTCCCAGCCAGTTGGCCTCTTTCCCCTCTGACTGCACCTTACACCCACTCCCTCCAGACAGCTTCAATCTGCAGCTCGCTCTTCCACTTGTAGCTCTGTACTATGGCTCATTCGAGGGGCTTGTGTTGCCATCTATTTCCTTCATTTAAAAAAAAACATATTTTTTTTTCTTTATGCTGCAGTAGAACTAAAAGCTAAACCTGACAAAGGAAAGAGGAAAAAAATAGCATTTTCCTGTGCTCCTGGGTGACCTGGGATGGACAAGAAGCGTTTCATGGCCCCTGAGCATCCCAATATACCTGCGGATATTGCAGCAGATTGAAATATCATCTCAGGTGTCTTTTTCTCAGGCTGACTAGGAGGAGCGGGCTGTTTGCATGGCTGGGGGTATTTTTCAGTAGGAAATGTTTATAGTTTTTATCTTCAAAGGTAATTCATTTTAGTTCCAATCACAACACACTTTTGTTGAAGCGAGGTTTTTCTCCCTCTCCGGCCAAAAAATGCATCTGTTAGCAATCTTTCTGGATTTTAAAGTGAAGCTTTTCGAACAGTGAACCAGCTGACTATGAAAGGCGTCTGGTCATGCTATATTTGCTTATGGGGAGCATAATTTTTAAACCCTGGGAAAAGCGCATGAGGGCATGTGTGTGTTTGTAGAGGAGAGGGTATAGGAAATGTTAGCATACAGAGAGCCGGCATGGTCTGGGATGGGACGGTTCTGACCCCAAGAT